GTGTGTGTTTATTTCTGTGTGTCAGGGGAGACGGAGTGAGAAGGAGGCTGACTGATGGTCTGGCCGAGGCTTATCAGCTGATCTGTCTGGAGTAACACGGTTCTCATCTTGATCTGTGCAGCTGGCTGTCGTCCACACCCACAATGCTTTTCTCAGGATCAGATGTCACAAACCACTTCCTGTATTAAAGCACTGGGCCGTTTCCTGTACCTCTCTAATTTTGGAAGCACAAATCTTTTGTCAGCATTTGGTTGGTGGAAACCAGTATGAACCAGTGCACATGACGCAGAGTCTACATATATATTATTACATAGTAACGTATATAATAAATACTTATATACAGAAAATTCAACCGGCAGACCTTCACTATTTAACATAATCTTTCAAATGGGTTTCTTCACTCCAAAAACTAGTAATTTGTGCTTACATATTATTAATGGTATATCTATCTATCTGGTTGCCTATGTACAAACTGAGCAACATTAATATTCAAATGAAGTTTTGTGTCCACTTGATAAATGGATGTTTGGGACAGTACAAATGTGAAATGTGTATGGAGAGTGATGAGGACATGCAGCAAAGGGCAGGGTTGGAATCGAACCTGTGGCTGCAGCAGGACTCAAACCTCATTCCATGAAGTTCATTATTCACTCTTTGCAGCGCTGTTATTGATGTCCATCGACTCCTGGGGAAATGTTTGGCTCATCAGTTGCTAAATGCTCCTGTGTTCACCTGCTTGTTGCTAACTTTGCCCGTCTCCAGTTTGATGCTCGATCAGTTGTGTTGAATAAACTTTTAGAGTTTGTTTTGGGTTGGTTTGTTCTTTTTTTCCTTGATGAAAACAGCTGCGTACTGCGTCTGGAAACTATGCTGATGAGAGCTGTGAGACTGAAACTAAACATTGAAGGTTTGAGGCCTAAAAGCAAAACAGTGGGTTAAAAGATGAGGTGAGGTGAATGGAAGAATTGGGTGATAATTCACTATAAGTAACCCCTACATACATTATCATTATTATAATCTACTGTTGATGTTAGGGACATACCTTCAGTTGTGCATCTTCAACTGCATCACTGAGTGTTTTGACCTTGTAATCAACAATACAGGTCGAACTTGAGGGTACACTGAGGCTAAAGGTAAATCTGACATGGCAGTACAATGAAAGCCATCTCAGTAGATCATTACCTCTCTGCCTTTTTAAACTAAACACTGTCCCATTTTAGAATAAAGAACCTGAAGGAGAATATCCCTTGTATGTTAAAGTTATTAAGTGAGTTTTTCTTGGATTCTTTTTTGAGAAATGGAGGGATCTTTTTCTCAGCTAATGATGGAACTGAAAACCCAAACAGTCCCCTTATGAAATCACATTTAAATTCACTCGACCTGGATTTTTATTTGCACACATATAATATCAGTTCAAGTAATATTTTACTCTGACTGTTAGCAAAATCATGCAAAAACTACAGAACCAATTTGAAACATGGTGGAGGGGTAGTGTGTGGGCCAAGAAAGAACCCATTAACATGTGGGGTGGATCCAGACAAAGCAGTGGATCCAGGAACTTTAATCACCTTCTCTAACACTGCAAGATCATTGTGGCTGGTGTTGTACAGAGAGCGGGTCGTCTCGGGGGCCTGCTGCTGTGTCATAATGCAGGCAGTTAGCATGCCGCAGTGTGTTGCCTCCGCCACCCTAAGCAGCCGGCAGATTGATAACCCTGCCAGGGACGGAGCCAGAACCAGTCAGCCAGCCAGCAGCGGGCAAAAGTGAGATTTTATGAGTGCGTTTATCTCTCTGACACTGTTGACTCTGTACTATTATGATTTGTAAGCGCTGAATAGGATGGCAGTGATAAAACAACTCAGAGCGTGTCTGCTATGCAGGCCTGTGGAGATGTGTGCGTTTAATTAATGTGCCATCGAAGCTGTAGCTATTGCTCTGAAGCCTCTCCTCATCTCCGCCCAGTCCATGGCTGCTAATCATTTCCTCACGTTTAGAACATAACAGATGAAACTGCTGAAGCACAATCATGACATTTCATTTGAGATGTTCCCTTTGTGGCTCTAACAGAGTTTGGCAGAGTTTATGACTGACTCATAAAACTATTTCGGTTCCTGTTTTCATTTTGTCGTCGCAGCCAGTTTGCCGGAGACGAAAAAGCAATCGATACTTATTTCTTTTTTTTTCGCACGAAAGGGAAACTTTGTGATCTCTTACTGTCAGAGAAATCAATGGCAACGGCTTCCTCTCTCTCTCTCACAATCTCCAGTTTTCTCAACCAGCTCCCTCACCCCCACCTTTCCCTGCTCCCACGTATACCTCCCACTTGTCCTTACCCCTCTCCCCCCTCCGATCCCACATTCCCACCAGCCACGATCAAAGCACAGTGGCAGATTTACACACACTCAGCTGCACAGGCTCGCAGCCTTCTTAAGGTCAGGGGCAATGATCTGGAAATCCCATACAGAAAATTGTGAGGTGGACATGCATGCACGTGAGTGTGTGTGTGGTTCGACTAAAGGTTGTGTCACTCAGGGTCAGAGAGACTGGATTAACAGGCCAATCCATATCTGGGATCCATGTAGGAAAGCAACTAATGATTATTTTCATTATTGATGTAGGTGCCAATTCTTGTTTCAACTCATCTAATCTTGTTCTGCTGAATAGGAAATGTGCTCGTCCTCCTGCTTTTTAAACAGCGGCAGCACAAAATGAACTCCTCATTAACCTTGAAGAAGAAGACGTCGCTGTGGTGAGTCCAACAAACAACATGGTAACAGCAGGGACTGCAATGGTGCTTTTCTCATCTTATTCACTAAGAGCTTCAGTGTACGAGTCATGTTCATCCATTCACACAGCACTTTTCCTGTCACACACCGTCACAGCTGTCAGGGGCAATTTGGGGGTTCAGTGTCAGTTTGGCATCCAGATTGAACCACTAACCTTCTGGTGACTGGACGGCCGGCTCTTCTTCCAGAGCCTCAGCCACCCAAAGATTACAGGACCATGTTCGGATGAAATCATGGACATTAAAAAAATGATGTATGGACTACATGTTCATAGTCGTGAATATTTTGGGGTAATTTGTGTTATTAAGGTTTAATTTTTGTTTTTGAAGGGCTGTGAGATGTTTGATTCATGGGTAAAAACTTGTAAGGAGATTAAAAAAATCATTCATTCATTGGTTCACTCATTCATTATGTTTCTCAGCCCAGCTCTTCCTCCATGTCTGTGTGTTTGTGTACCTTTGGTGGTACGTAGAACTCCAGCAGGAACTTCTCCCCTCCTTCCTCCCTCTTCGTCTTCCTCAGCAGGAGGCGACACTTCTGCCACTGTGCGGCGCCCATACAGTTTGTGTCATCAGCCACCATATACCTCAGCACCCCCTCCCTCTGGATTTCCAGCAGCTCGGCCTTGTGGCCCTGGGAACCCCTGGGCAGCCGCAGTTTCTGGGACCACCTCTCTCCCCCTGCAGCCTCCCCACCTCCTCCTCCTCCTCCAACACCCCCATTAGCCTTCCTGGCTCCAGAGGGAGCGTCAGGTTCTGGGGAGGCCCGTCTGTGCCACATCTCCTTCACCCCATCCACCACACACAGGCTCATGTTCCTCAGGGAGAAGCCCTTCTTGAAGCGAGCCTTTGGGTGACTAACCGAAACATCCTCTGAGCTGCGAGACTGTCCCAGAGCAGACACCTTGTGGGACGGCTGGGGGCCTCGAGTGGGGCCACTGCCTCCCCCATCTATCCCTCCCCCTCCGCTGTCCATACTGTCCAGGGATTCACTTGAAGCCCCAGTGTCCTTACGTCTCTGGTAGAGGTCGTGACCGTAGGACAGTGGGCAGCCCTGGATTCCCAGGAAAGGAACTATGCTGTACTTGGGTGCCGAGTTGGAGCCGTCCTCCCCTGGCGATGACGCCTGGTTCTCCCGGGCCTGGGTCACAGCAGCAGAGAAGCACTCCAGGAAGTGTTGGGCAAAGTGCTGTGAGAAGCTGGCGTCTGCGCCGGGCGAGTTGTAGCACGGGTTCTCTGCCAGGAAGCGCTGGAACTTGTCAGCGAAGTCTGCAGCAGAGGCTCGGGCATGGAGCTCACAGAACTCTCGCCAGTCAGGCAGTGGGCACGAGGAGGAGAGCTCCGGGCTACCGGGCACCACCGCTCCGTTCATCACTGGGCCATGCCAACCCACCGAGGAGAGGCTGGGGAGGAGGAAGAGGAGAGCAGGGTTAGTTCGGGGTGTAACTACCTGCTGTGGATCACACTCATAACAATTGCAACCTGCATGTCTGATGATGCAAATAAGAAAATATAACAGAATGAAACAGACTTTAAACATGGAGAAAAAGCATCACAGTGGTGCAAATCCCGGTTCGACTGTCTTTCTGTGTGGAGTTTGCATTTCTCTCCATGTTGGTGTGTTTCTCCAGGTACTCCTTACCACAATCCAAAGACATGCAGATTGGGGTTTGTTTAATTGGGGACTACAGGTGTGAATGTGAGTGTGAATGGTTGATCGTCTCTGCAGGTCGGCCCTTTGATAAGTCCAGGATGTACCCAGGCTCTTGCTCAATAATGGATGGAATTGGCTCAATCTCCCTAAGGATAATATCATAGAGAAAATGGATGCATATCATAGAGAAAAATGAAGTCCTTGATCTGTGACGTGTTTATTTCAGTACGATTTTGAACAAATATTTAACTTTTTCTGGTATTTTTATGTCAAAATTATTTGGTTTCGCCTTAAACTTCTCCCCAATCTTCTCTCTTCCACCATCATATCCAGGTTAAGTCGCCCTACCCCAAGAAAAAAGTTACCAAAAGTCCTAACGTGTTCTTGATTATTTAGATTTTGTTTCAAACCTTTCCCAACACAAGTATAGTGTCACGTAGGCATCAATCTTTTGAAAACCAATTATCTCAAAACCTGTTTATCAGGTAAAAACCTAATTAGTTTCTGACAACCACTGATAAGATTATGTGACATATCTGTCAACTGAGATTAACAGCATCTTTTAATTTAAACAAAAATTGACTCTGTCTCCTCTTTGTGTCCCGTACAGTATTTATTTAAGACCACAGTTGCTCTTTGTCCACTCATCCTTTCATCAACCTCCTCCTCGACATGTGTGTGTGTTTGGATGAGTCACTCCTCAGCTCTGCCTCCATCTCTGGTCTGAGCGGTGCCAAACCACATCACATCATTGATAAAACTCTTTGCACTCTGGTCTGCGGTGGGGCCCTGACACACAGAGCCACACCACTGTAGAGACAGTATATCAACATCCAAGCACTTTCCCCCCCCTGCTCCTCTCTCTCTCTGCCTGTACATCACAAGACAGCATCAGTGAAATATGTCAAACACACGTTGGTTTGATTATTCATGTACATAAATCACACAGAAAAATGTGACATCTGTGTGGCACGCTGGGCGACATTTCCCCTTCAAACTGCAGTCTTTAACCACAAACCGAAACTACACTCTTTAATCAAAACACGCAAACATGCAGATTTTGTACATTTGCAGAATTTCCTGGAGTGTCTCCTGCAAACAGATCAACTGTCATTTCCAAGAGCATCAGTGTGGGTTTTTCTCTTCATAAAAGATTAGAGCAAAAAAAAACAAAAAAAAACCCCTCCAACTAAATTAAGCCTCTCTCTCTCACAGATGTGGAACAAACAATATGCCAGATTAGAGAGAATATATTAGAAGATTAGAAAATGATCAGGGAAAGTTCACACAAGAGACGGGTCTTTGAAGGACGATCTCTAAGCTCATCTCTGTCCCACACACCACACACATTTCTGTGCTAATATTTCTGTGCTTCTTACTTTACTTTAAGTATGATTTTCTTCCACTCCTAGAAGCGTCATGTTTTTGCACACACACACACACACACACACACACACACACACACACACACACACACACACACACACACACTATTCATGCTGAGACCTGGTGACAGAACTTCAGAGGAACACTATAATAGATAGAGGCACTATAAAGTGAAGGAAATGTGGGATTAGAGACTAGTAATAAATCTGCATGTTCTACCTCATGTTATGAGATGGGAGTGATTTCATAACCTGTCATCAGGTGATGGAGATGTGCTGCAGAGAAAGGTTCTATACAACTTATGAATCATTAACTAAGAGTGCCTTCTAAAGTTCTAAATAAGTAAAATCCCTTTCATTCATGATCACTTCATTCCCTCAACAAGATAAACTGCTAATCACCATGTGTTACAACAATGAGTGTTACAATGAGTGTGTGTGTGTGTGTGTGTGTGTGTGTGTGTGTGTGTGTGTGTGTGTGTGTGTGTGTGTGTGTGTGTGTGTGTGTGTGTNTGTGTGTGTGTGTGTGTGTGTGTGTCAGTCAATATCCATTCAGCTATTTAAAAACCTGCCCTGGGCCAACTTTCCACTCATTCAGCAGAAAAACAACAGCAAGCAGTGAGGTCCATTTCTCAAACTCCTGCCCTTCCGCAAAGATGAGGATGTGCCTCTCTCAAGGATACTGAACTGACTGTATGTTTCGCCCCCACACAGACACACACGCACACACACACGCACGCACACACCGAGTCAGCATGAAACTCAAGCCATGAGACACTGGAGGAAGTGGACAGCATTAGCGTTTTCTGGGGCTCAGCAGACTGAAGCAGACGACAAACTGGGCAGCACACAGGGGTATAAACAGAAAATGATTGGCAGAGAGAGAGAGAGAGAGAGAGAGAGAGAGAGAGAGAGGGAGGGAGAGAGAAAACCAATCTGTGTGTCGCTGCTGCACCGCACGGCCTACAGGAGTCACACAGCGTCACATGCACTGATTGAAAATTAAAATGTAGGTCAAATGGAAACAACAATGTATATTGATGATGAGTTCACAACCCGACCCACAGAGACAGTGATGTAATCTCAAAAACTGTGGAACCTCGAGATGATGTCGTATGTAAGCAATGCTAAACAGTTAGCCTACCAAACCAGCACTAGCCACCACAGGGCAGATATCAGAGCTATGCACCTACTTGACAACGTTTTGATGTCGAGAACCACGTCCAAACATTTCCTGTGCCATGTTTTAGAAGTTTAAAAATAATGTTGTATGTATTTAAAAAATATGATTTTGTTATTATTTTGACAGAGCTAATTAAACTAACAGCTAGTCAACCAGCTACAACAACAAAATGGTGTTTAAACATCAATGCATCACATATAATAATATCATGAATATAATAAATTGGGAAAAGATAACTTTTATAATTCATACCAGCACTGGCAGCTTGTTTGGTCCCTAGGTGGCAAAATAAGTTACATATGGTCTTCTTTTAAGATAATACAGTAAACTTGTTAGAGAACAGATTCTTATTTGCACGTTGAGCATATTTTATCTATAGGGAAATATCTGGCTCTTCAGCAGCTCATTGCTCGTTGCTAACGTTGTCTGTGAGCAGTTTGGGATCAGTGGCTTTTTGGAGCTCACTGAAAACAGCTGTCTGCTGTGAACAAAAACCAAAATCAAAACAATGAACTTAAATTCCAGATGAAGCTTCAGATTCAGGAGCCTCCGTTTCATCATTTCACGTGACCCTGGATGTGTTTATAAAAAGTGATTACAGGTGCTCTAAGTACATTTCACTCTTAATATTTCTGTGCTTCTTACTTTACTTTAAGTATGATTTTCTTCCACTCCTAGAAGGGGTCATGTTTTTGCTCTGAGGGCCAGCTGCTAAAATACTCAGTGAGTGTGTGGAGGTGGAGGAGACCATGGGAGTGTAAAGAAAGCGAGACGATGAATGGGAGCAGAGACATCATCACACCCCCCACCTCCCCTCAGCTCTTTTGCTCCAGGTCCAACGAGAGGAGTTGTGGGGAATCTACACCGTTAACCTCCATCCCTTAAGGCCTCCAACGCCTTCCTCCTTCCTGTACCTCTTCCCCGTCTGTTGTAGAAATCTACCACCGCCATGCCCCCTCTTCCTCCCGCTGCTCCTTTACCCCGGGGAGCTCGGCTGATATCTCTGTCAGATGGTTGGGAGTTGTGTCTGTAACAGTAAACTGACTGGGGAGGACAGGAAAGAGACATTACTGCTCAGGGAGAAGCAATCAGCTGCAGTCTGCAAAACACATCGTACATGATCCGCCCGCTTGGTGTAGTGTGTAGGGCCCTCGCAGGACTGAGGTGTGCAGAGCCAGGAATCACATACAGTATGCCTGATTGATACTGTGGTGTTGTGGGTAGTAGCTACTGAGGAAACGATATCCTGGCCAAGAACGCCGGATGTGCAAAGATTTGTGTTTTTAAAGCTGTGTGTACACATACCTCTGAGAGATAAACACTGTACATGTTGTTTAAAAGACTCCTATATCATCAGACACACGTTGCTCTTTGCTGTCGCAGTTTCATGCCAGAAGCACGCCGTCCGTGATTGGCTGATGTGGATGATTGGTGATGTTGTGCTCCCACCCCAGGGAGTTTGGGCCTTGCCATGTTTACTAAGATTAGCCTGCTCCTCAGCACAGCACACAGCTGGCAGCACACCCAGTACCGTACAACAGAGTACACACACACACACACACACACACACACAACTCTACCTGAATCCATGAATTATGTGTCATTATTAAAGAGGTAAATACTACAGAGGTTTAATGTGGACTGAGGATGTTTGTCATACACATCTTATATAACTGGAAAAAATTATGTTTACGTGCATGCTGGATTCATAATGTGATTCTCATACTGTCCATGTATATCCCAGTATTAATAGAAAGCATGTACGATAAATAGAACAGAAAATATTAGAAAATCTATAACTCATATATATTATATGGAAATTTTAGACCGTTGATCAGACAAAACAAAGCATAAAGGGTGAACTTGAAATGGCTATTCTTCCTCTATTTTTAAAACTAAACAGTTGATGTAATTGTAAAAATTGATTTAGTGCTGCACCTATTAATTTACATCACAGTAAACAATTTGCATGTCAGTTTTTTATTTTCGATGAATGGATTTATTCTATTATTTGTCAAAAGAAAGTGATATGGGTCCATTTTGAAGGCGCCACCTTGGGATTTAGGAATTTGTAATCTCTATTTGTTTACATTTTATATCCCCATTGAATATTAATTTATCAAAAAGAGATAGATAGATAGAGATATGTTTTAACGCAATGTAACCGTATTTTTGTATGCATGTTTCATTCTGACCATTTTGTTGCTGATTATCATGTATTCTGCACAGTTGTAAATGTCATGCAAAAATCGTTTTGTACAACTGACAATATATTTGGGAGAGTTTATAATTATAACTGGAGCTTGCCATGTTAAAAAAAATGGTGAAAACTAGAATGAGCACTTGGAGAGTGAATACCTGCGCTAAGTCATTTCCCCGTTTGTGAGACAATAATGGTATTCTGATTCTGATTCTGATAAGGCTCTATCAACACCATATTAAAGAAATCATGCATCCACCGATTTATCCAGATCCCCCTCCAAATTGAATAGGTTCATATTTTGGTCATGCCCCACCCCTCCACAAAGTTGAATGGAAATCGGTTCAGGAGATTTTGCATAATCCTAATCCTGAACATAACCTCTGATAGGTGTTTTTCACTTTGGGTACAGTAACTGTAAGAGAGTAAATACTGACGTTAGTCCTGGCTATACTGAAACCAAGCAGAGAGTCAGGTGATGCAGAAATCCACATGAACACGATGTCAGGTTAGTTTTGCTGCTCCACTGCAGGAGGACAGAAACAACAGCCGACAGACACACAGGAGGGAAACTGACTCACCTGGAGAAGTCAGAAGTTATTAGAGTGTGTGTGTGTGTGTGTGTGTGTGTGTGTGTGTGTGTGTGTGTGTGTGTGTGCGTGCGTGCGTGCGTGCGTGCGTGCGTGCGTGCGTGCGTGCGTGCGTGCGTGCGTGCGTGTGCGTGTGAATGAAGCTACTGTATGTAAACCAAAGCTTTAATACTCAATTAAAAACAGGAGGATGGCAGTGGAGGGAAAGCAAAGGAGATGTAGACACAAGATAATGATCCTAGGAGGGAGAGAGGGGAGATAGAGAGGTAGAGGTAGGAGAAGGAGCAGATATAATGGGGTCAGCAGTAACAGACCTCCACCCACGTCTGTCCACATTTTGTTTCATCCGTCCACTTCAGAGCAGCCAGTCGGCGACCTTTAACCCTGGTTCTGATAACCTCGTCTCGCCTAATGCCACTGAATGTTGTCTGGAGAGTTTCATCCAGTCCTGACCTATCAGATGTTATAGAAGTAACACAGTCCTGATCCAGACACTGATACACCCGGAGACATAAAGTTACCTGTGTGTTCAGACGCAGACAGATGCAAACAGAGCTGATGGACCAGATGGTGAGAGGATGTCGAGGACAGACATTCATCATCACCAAACTGTAACCTGCACACGAACAAACCCAACAGCGCTCACCTCATCAACACCTCATCAAACATATTAAACACACTCACTAGCATGTCCTCTACTAGCAGCTACACTGACTCTCTCTCTCCCTGGTGAACAGTGACAATGTGTGAGTGCAGACATCCATATGGCAGCCAGTGATAAAAGACTGAGCGCGTGGGAGACACACATACCACCACTGACTTCCATTTCCTGTCTCTCACCCACCAGGTCTAACTAATTTCACAGATGACCACAGACCTCTCTCACAGAGACGAGGGTCTATAAGCGTCTGTGTGTGTTTGTGTGTGTGTGTGTGTGTGTGTGTGTGTGTGTGTGTGTGTGTGTGTGTGTGTGTGTGTGTGTGTGTGTGTGTGTGTGT